ACATGTGAGATTAAGTGTGTTTTCCTTCTCCTTTTTTCTTTTGTTTTCATTTTCATTTTTCGTTTTCCTCTTTCTCTCTCTCATCATACAGTTTTTCTTTCCTTATTCTCTCTTATCCCACCTTATTTAGCTGTTCAGTAGTATGGTCGACCATACTAGGTTTCGAGTTATGCCACACCACTTTAATGTATTCAGTTATGGTGTGGTGTGGTTCTAAACTCACTATCTTGTGTTTTGGACTACATCACACTCAAAAATATCAGCCATACAAATAAATCATGGTCCTAACCATGCCATAGGGACTATAGACCCCTCTGCCTATCCAATACTTTGCATGTATGTTAATTTACATAATATTTTTTAAATTATTTGTCATATATCTAATTAATAATATTTATCTTACCATTGCAAAAGTTATTACTTAGTATTAAAAGTAAGAATTTTTCTTTTTTATGTTTTTACTAATTTTAATAATTCAAGATTAATGTTTTATTAATTATTTATCATTGATATTAGTTTTCTTATGTATGTGTTTTATATTTTTATATTACTTTTAATTTTTCATCATTATTAATTTTTTCAATTCATCAGTTAATATTTTATTAAATCGTATTAGTCATGGTTAAATTGATCATATGTTAAATTAATTTGTATTTTTCTTAAAGAAGCAAAAAAAAAATATCACTCTTGATCGACTGCATAGATTATCTCACATTGTGTATCTGAGATAAGGCTGCAATTGAATTGAACTCTAATCGAATAGTTTGGGCTCAAATTCAATTAGGCTTGATTCGAGTTTGAACCTTGGGGTAAGCTCGATTAGTTATTCGAGCTTAAGCTCAACCAATAACTACATACAAACATATCGTATATATATTATAGAGTATAAAATATATTTTTATATTCTATATAATATTAGAATATACTATATATTATAAAAATATATTTTTATAGTTTTGAGCTTTCGAGCCAAACTCGAGTTGAATATTTAAACAAACTGAGCTCGAGCTAGAAGATATAGTTCAACTCGAACTTGAGCTTGAACTAGAACCTAGTAGTATTTTAGGTGGTGTTTGGTAGTGTAGTGAACTCACGAGATAGTGGGTTTCAAACCACACCACATCACTTTTAATGTGTTTGGTTATGGTGCGGTGTGGTTTAAAACCCACTATCTTGTGGTGTGAACCATACCCCAAAATATTGGCCACACCATTATCTTGTGGTCACAACCACACCATAGTCCCTTCTCCCAATCCAATACTTCACATGTATATTAATTCATACAATATTTTTTTAATTATTTGTCTTATATCTAATAATAATATTAATCTTTCCATTACAATTGTTATTAATTGGTATTAAAAGTAGGAATTTTACTTTTTGTGTTTTTACTAATTTTAATAATTCTCGATTATCTTTTATTAACTATTTATCATAAATATTAGTTCTCTTATGTGTGTGTTTTATATTTTTATATTACTTTTAATTTTCTTGTCATTATTTATTTTTTAATTTATTCATTAAGTTTTTATTAATCCATATTAACTATGGTTAAATTGATCACATGTTAAATTAATTTGTATTTTGCTTAAAAAAATAAAAAAACTACTACTCTTGATTGACATCATAGATTATCTCACATTGTGTATCCAAGATACGTAGAATCAAAACACAGGGTGTTCCCTGAGCCACACCACGCCCTACATAACACCTATGTAGGTGTGGTGTGGTTCAGGCTACCTATTTTTGTCCATAGTATAGAACACCTATTTTGTTGTGGCATGGTGTGTTCTCAAACACACTACAAGTGTGATGTGGTTGAGAATACACCACCCAATTTATCATCTAGACTATAAAACACCCCCTTAGTCAAGTTGAGCTAAGATATGCCAAAGTTCAGCTTGGCCTAATTGCATCCCTAATCCGAGATACATGGAATCAAAACACAGGGTGTGTCTTGAAGCACACCACACCCTATAGAATGCCTATGTGGGCGTGATGTGGTTAAGGCTACCCATTTTTGTCCATAATAAAGAAAGACCTATTTTGCTATGGTATGGTGTAGACATGTGGTGTGGTTGAGAACACACCACACCATGGTAAAATAGGCATGTTGTACCACACCATGGTAGAATAGACATTTTGTACTGTGTTAAAAAATTGGTAGTCTAAACCACACCACACCCACATAGGCATTTTGCAAGGTGTGGTGTGGTTTAGTACACCTATGGTATTGTGGTGTGGTGTGTTTGCAACCACACTATAAATGTAGTGTGGTTGAGAATACACCACCCAATTTTTCATCCATATTATAGAGCACCCCCTTAGTCAAGCTGATACTTGGCCTTCTGCACCCCTAATATGAAACACATGGAACTAAAACATAGGGTGTGTCCTAAACCACACCACACCCTCTAAAATGCCTATGTGCGTTACAAAAACACCTATTTTGCTACAGTATGGTGTGGAGCATACCTATTGTGTGGTTGAGAGCACACCACGACATGATAGAATAGGCATTCTATATTGTGTTCAAAAATTGGTAGTCTAAACCACACCACACCCACATAAGCATTTTGCATGGTGTGGTGTGGTTTAAGCCACACCCTATATTTTGATTTCATGTATCTCATATACATAATGTGAGTTGATCTACGCCATCAATCAAGAGTAATGCTTTTTTTTTGGATAAAAATATTGATTAAAAAACTAAATGTAATATAAAAATATAAAACACAAGCATAAGAGAACTAATGCTAATGATAAATAATTACTAAAAAATTAACCTAGAAATATGTAAAGACATAAAAAATGAAATTAAAAAGATAAATATTACTAATTGCATACAATACAATTAATTTAAAAAAAGATATCGTGTGAAATAATAATTATTAAAAATTAAATTAAATTAATTAATTATGATTTAAAATATTTAAAATATGTAAATGGGACTATAGTCTCTATGGCGTAGTTTGAACCACAAGATATAAGTGTGGTCGATATTTTGAGCGTGGGGTGGTCGAAACCATGAGATAATGGGTTTGGAACTACACCACGCCATAACCAAGCGCATCAATGGTGGTGTGGTGTGGTTTGAAACCCACTATTTTGCGGATCAACAACACCTTCAAATGCCACCTTAGTCATCCAATGTCTAAATTCTTGGGTTCTACTCCTAAAGCATGGAAAGAAGCTAGCTAGATAAGGTTGTGTTTGGTACCATTGCCACCTCTACTTGCAACATTCTAGGTTGGTTGGTACAAATTTTTGAGAAATTGTATTATCACACGCTAGATAACTACTTCCACTAAAAAGCATTGGATTGGGTTTTGCCATTTATGGTGAAAACATCAAATTTGATGTTTCCTTAAGAAACAACAATGGTGCCAAATGTTGTATTGATAACTTAAATCATTTGTGGTAGAAAAAAAAATATTATCATAAAATTTGTATTGACCAACCTAAAACCTTGCAAGTAAAAGTGGCAATAGTACCAAACACAACCTAGTGAACATTCGTTGCTCTTTTGGGTTGTGACTTTTACTTTTCCTACCCAACTTTCTTGAACTTCATCAATCTCAATTCAAGGCAGCAAGAGCTGAGCTATTAAGGGGGGTGACGACAGCATGGTTAATTTTGTAGGTGTTTGGCATCAGTGCTGGGAATACAACACCCTGGGTATGTCTGAGTTGTAAGCACTATTTTCTCTTATTTGGAAATGGTGCTGCCACATAAGTTGTTTTCTGGGAAAACAATACTGGTTTTGTATGGTATCGTTGCTGTAGAACCATTTTCAGCATTGGTCTATATTATCCATCATTCAAGATGATGCCACATTGGTGTCACATCATTGCACTGCTAGTAGCAACGTGTTGTTTTCTGAGAAAACATTGAATTTGGTGTTTCTTTAGACCACACTTTACTGATTTTCAAGGCATTGTCTGGAGCAACATTTTTTTTTGGAAAAACAGTACCAAATAAGAGGTCGTTTTCTGAAGCATTGCTTTTTCTTATGTGGTGCCTATGTGGCACCGTTTTCTCAGAAAACGACATCAGTGCCAAACACTGCCTTTGTTTTAGATATGTTTTTGCTCATGTGACAGTTTCTTTTGTTTTCAAAAATAAAACCATGTTATAGAACACCCACTAGAGTTTAACCTTTCTCTACGGGCTCATTGTAGCGATAATAACCACTCAAAGGGCGTTCTAAGAGAAACTTTGGCTGTCCATGTTACAGCCTTACAGGCTATCTAAAGCTTTCTCTACAGACAGCCAAAAATTTCCACTGAACTTTGAACTGTAGACGGTCAGAGTATTTCAAATCATAGCCCCTCACAAATTGGCAAAAACCCTTTTTATATTGATGAATGATGATGTATCATAATTCTATTATGAATTTGCACTAGCATTAGCATGAAATGCTCTATTTATATCCGTGGATTTTGATCCCAGTTTCAAGATATATCAAATGGATGGATTAGATTTGCATAGCCATAGGAGTGATCATTTCTAATCCGGCCCGGGCTCAGGAAAAACATGATGCTGGACGGACTTTGACCAATCAAACTTCAATAACATACGCCCAAAGCCGGCCCAGGCTTGGACTTGTATTTCAGGACCAGGATCTGGGCCAGGCTGGGCAGATGCTAAGCCCGGCCCATGATCACCTCAGACGTGGAGGAAAAGAAGAGATTCCGGATCTCCTGCAAATAAAAGCTCTGATCAAATAGCATACAACCGCATATTAGGAATATCTCCACTACGAAATGTTTCCAATGTGTGCGGCTGGATTCCACTGCGGCTGAACACCTCGTGGAGGAGTATATGAGTTTCTACAGTCCTCAATCAAAAACCAATGATTGAGTTGCAACTCGTTAAGATGATTCTAATCCAACAGTAAGTATATTGAGGTGACAAAACTTCATCATGGAGATCCACCCTACCTATCAAATTCCCGAAGTAAAAGGTCCCATCCCAAGACGGCAAGCCCCCAACGGCTTTTTTAGTCCAAACACCCAGACAAGCAACATTTCACACGTTAGGGTTTCGTTCCCGCGCACTCTGAAGTCTTAACTGAATAACTGAAATCCACACCTCCAGCTTCTCGGCCAGATTAAGAACATATTGATGGATACATCCGACCCATCAAACGATCTCGACGAGCCAGGTGGTTTCCCTCCATTCCCCAAAATTCAATTATCTCAGATTTTTCTCTTATTTATTTGATTTATATTTTCAATCTCCCCTACTTTTGAGTAGAGCTCGTTTGCAATCCAAATCAGTTAGACTAACTGATGGGTCATCGATTGGTCTTTTAATATAGTTGGTTCTGACGAGGCCAAGAATCTCGAGGCTTTAATTACAAAATGCTCAGGTGACTTTGATTCATGGACTTCACTCATAGCAGAGATTGAAAAAGCATCACCTGTAAGTGATCTGTTATTCCATTATTTCCAAGTCCAACCATTACATTCTCTTTTCAATAATTTTGGGTTTAAAATTCCTTCACTGTGTAGAAAAAAATTGTAATTCTGGGAAGTTTCCTTGTTCTGGTTGTCTTTTTTGTTTGGTCTATGTTTGCTTCAATTTACTATGAATCTGTGGATTTGTACTGCTTCGAGGTTTATTGGGATGCTGGATGGAGTATAATGCATGCGTTTTGTGTAAACACTGCAGGATGATATGGGGAAGATCTCTTTAGTGTATGACTCCTTCTTGTCTGAGTACCCACTGTGCTATGGTTACTGGAAGAAGTATGCTAATCACATGGCACGGTTAAACACTATTGACAAGGCTGTTGAGGTTTATGAACGAGCCGTGCAGTCAGCAACCTACTGTGTTAATCTGTGGGTTGAATACTGTAGCTTTGGTATGTTGTTATTTGAAGATCCAGTTGATGTTCGGAGGTAATTTAGATGCTAAGAAAATTTGGTATATAATTATAATAAAGTTATTGATTCCAGAAATGGTCAAAACTAATAACTGAAAGTTATACTTTCAGCATAAAGTAGAAGTTGTAACCGTGATTGTGGCTCTTGAGGGCTAAAAGTTATTTCTTTTCCATTACATCGTTATTGGTTACTTTATTTGGATCTAACATCTTATCTTTAGATTAGATGACAAAAATAATTGAGGATTCTTATTCTAGAAATACCTCCACTTTGAATTACATGATTTTGAAGTAATATCATGTACTTTTTCTGCAACTGATACTGACCCCATGTAGACTATAGTTAGGACTAAGCTTTAATAGAGTTAAGTTGGGAATTATGTACATTTTCTGAGGTAAACCACCAATTAGATGGTTTTCTTTTTTATGGTCCTTGATTATACTCCAGTTTTTTTTTTTTTCTTTTTTTTTTGTAGAAGGTAAGGTTATTTTATTTAAATGAAACAGAGAATACAAGGAGGCCCCAGAAAAGGAGCAAGATGGCTGAGAACAATCTCCCAGCTTACATTACAACTCAAACACACTTCTGGACCTCAGCTGAGCTCCAAATACCCGAGGCTGGAGTCCTTTAACCCCTGCAGTCCATGATACTAATTTTCCCACAGCACAGGAGATAAGACAATCTATATCCTTTGCGTTGTTTTGAAAAATTCTTCTATTTCTTTCCATCCAGATGGAATTGATCACAGCTGCAGGGATAGCCCACCATACACTTTTAGCCAGCTTAGAAAGTCCTTGCAGATTCCAGCTCCATAACAGGTCCGACATCTTTTTTGTCATGACCCATGCTAAACCTTCTGAAAGGAGGAAATGATCCCATACTGCTGCCGAAACAGGACAGTGGATAAAAGGATGGCTATTATCCTCTTCGGCTTGACCACATAATTCACAAAGTAAGTTCTCGATTAGATTTCCTCTTCTGGTCAGGTTCTGTTTAGTTAGGACTCTATCCAAAGTCACTGCCCAAAGAAGAACATTCACTTTAGAAGGGGAAATCTGGGTCCAAATTTTAACAGCAGGAAAATTTCCAATCTTCCCAACTGAAAGCACTTTGGCAAAGGAATTCACAAAGAAACTACCATCTGCATTCCAGTTCCAACTCCAAGTATCCTCCTCCACAAGGTTTAAATTCTGGTTTGAAAGCAAGCCAAACAAATCCACCACTTGTTCCAATTCCAAGTATCGTCCAGTTAATTGGAAGCATATTCAGGATTATGTGTTGGCCTTTGAACAATTGGTACTCATTTTCCAGAGCAGTTTCACTTTAAATCTGTGTTACCTAGGCAGGAAGGTACAACTCTACAAGTCCATTATAGCATATGGTTAAAGACAAAGTCTCACCATTTTCCAAATAGGGGATATATGTGTAAAGTTGAGTTTTTCTATATATAATACAAAATAGCATTATGCATCTAATCATACAGCATGGTATAATATAAGATGACATATATCCATCAAAAAAAAAAAATATAAGATGACATATTATATAGAAAGGCCTTTCTTAACGGATCAGTTAGAATTCTTCTCTCTTTATCAGACAAGGGGAAGGGAAAGAAGTTAGAATGCCTTCTCCAGAGAACCAACCCTATTGTTGCACATTGTAAGATGATGTGGTCAATCCATACTGTCCATCAGATGGGAAGTCCTCTGGATTTGCCTTGTATTTACTCTTCTTTTTACCTCAGCTCTACATCCCACCAATTTATTGGAGTTTTGACCAGGTGATATTAACTTTTAAAAGCTTTACCTTTTTTCTTTCTTAATTGAAGAGATTCACAGCGAAGGGCTAAGTTCGGACACATCATAGGGCTGATGAAGCTTTCTTGATTAATAGAGGGTAGAGAGGGAAGCACATCATACCCTTTTAGACCCTAAAATAAATAAATAAAGAATGTGCTCCATTTTAAAGATTCCTGGATTATCTAGTTAACTTGTTGAAACTTCTCTACCAAACCTGTATACAATATGCAAAACACATAGAATCAGCACAGAAATCTAATGAAAATAAACATCCCAAAGGCCCATTTCTGTTTCTCTTTCAATTCTAAAAATTTGTAATGACATTTGGTTAGCATTTGGGATTGGGAATGTTTTGAATACTGCTCTGGTGCTGTTTCTTAGAAGTGCCCAACCAGCACCATATGGATTGTCAACTTGTCATCCACAAAATATGTCCAAATTATCTAGCCACAATGTTTCCCAAGTATATGGGAAGTCTTAGAGGTACTTAATCTTTCCTTTATAATTTTTTTGAAGATAAATAAAGAATAAAAATTTTATTTTTTAGAATTAGATGTAGACATATCTGTTATCACACAACATCAACTTGACTTGTTAGGCATGGTAACTTACTGATGCAGTGTGTGTCTTGTTTTTCTGTTAATATGGAAAGATATACTTTATTTGCCCTCCTGAAGCATTAAAATTGCCTTTTCAGCGGATAGAGATGGACTGTTATGATAATGTGATTGGATACTTCCAGGTAGTGTTCAATTGGCTATCTTCAAGGATTGATGACCCTTGGTCCTTTTGACACATGATAAGAGAAGCTTAGGCCCTTGCATCAAACCAGTGGCCTTTCCAACTTTTTAGCCAAGGTAAAGATAGGTCATAGGAATGACTGGAGAAGAGCTCATTTGGAGGACACTGGACACCAGTCTCAAAATCAAATCTGTAACTATTGTTCTTCATTAGTAAATATGGCAGTATCAGGCTGTTTTTTTTGTATTGGTCCTGTCATTTCAAGCTCCTTGGAATGTTTTATGTTTCTAAGACCTAGCCTGTTTAGAGGGTCCAAGCCCATCAGCTTTCTGGTTACAAGGAAGACTGAATAGTGCCCAAGGCCCAAGACCACCCAGGCACCCATCAAATATGTATACATTAGAAAGTTACGTAGATCAAGTTAGTTATGATATCATGCTTGTATCATGTGTCTTTTATGTATGGGCCTATATAAGGCGGTTTGAATAAGAATTAGGCAGTCCTCTCAATTCTCTCTCTCTCTCTCTCTCTTGTTTAGGAGGAAGGGCTCCCTTGAAGAAGCCCCTGAGGTAAGCAGATCTGGCAGAGATCAAGGAGGCTTTAACAATGATGGTAACTCAATGTGAACAACTGAATTCCTTGGGAGCAAGGGATAGTGAGAAAGGCTCAAGGCAGTAATAGGTGACTGATGGGAAATTTATGTTCAGCTAAGTTGGACTTCCCTCTCTTCTCAGGTGACAATCCGATCTCGGATTCAGAGCAGAGTGGTTCTTTGAATACAATGAGGTTCTAGGTCACTAGCGAGTAGTTGTAGCTTCAGTTCACATGGAGGGTGAGGAAATACTTTGTTAATCAATGGTATCACAGATTGCGTCCTCATTTGATGTTGCCTGGTTTCGTGAAGGCTATGTGTGCCAGATTTATCCTGTCTGGCTATAAAGACTTTGATGAAGCCCATTTAAAGCTGTGATAGACTGGATCTATCTGAGAATACTAGAACGAGTTTAAAAAATTGGCCTCACATGTCTTTGGATGGCCTGAGAAGGCACTAGTAGGTTGCTTTGTGGGAGGACTCAGGGAAGATATTTGGATTGAAGTGGAAGTGTTGCAGCTGGTGTCTATCATGGTCGCTACAAGCTTAGCTTTGACTCCATGAGGAACAGACCAATTGGCTTAAAAGATTTCACCGGCATTAGGAACCAATCTTCAAGTCTCCTCTGGTCCAATCTTATCTGAGCGAGTACAAATCCAATCGCAACAGCTCCAATCTTCCTCTCAAGAAGTTTAGTTGGATGGAGATTCTCTCCCGGCCTAGCATGAGTGTGGGCTCTACTACAACGGTGACAAGAAATTCTCTCCTGGTCACAGGTGCAAGAAGCAAGTCAAGCAACAACTCTTTGTATTGTGAATGGAATAAAACAATGAAGAAGATTCGGTTTACACTACGGAACAAGAATGTGTTGGCACGGAAGACAGAGATGAGGTGCTAGAAATCTCATTGCAAGATCTTATGGTCAAGCCAACACTGAGAATGATGAGGGTGGAAGGTATGCTCATGAACTGCCTGGTTTCCATTCTAACAGATAGTTGGAGTAATTGAGTACTTTGAATTTTATCACAGAGCTGATAGTTTTCCAAATGGGCCTGAAGGTTCAACCTATTGAATCATTTCCAGTACATGTGGCCAATAGAAACCATATAACTTGTATTGGGATATGCCATGGTATTGAACTTAAAATACAAAGGAACTGGTTCACAGTGGATCTCCACCCTTCAGAATTTCAAGGGGCAGATATCATCCTTGGTATTTAGTGGCTAAGCAGTTTGAGCCCCACTGTATGTGATTGGGACAAGCTTTCCATGCAATTTACCCCAAATGGTTAGACATATTGTCTTATGGGCTGAAGCCCATCTACTGTTAAACATGAAATGAACTAGTCAATTCTTAAGTACTACAAACACATGAACCCTCCAGTTCTATTGTATACAAGCCAAGATCAGAGCCCAACTTCTGTCTGCTTCAAATTCCAAGTTGGTCTCCTCGCTCAAGTACTTGGGTTTCATCTACAAATTCCAAGGTCATCTTGTATTGCCTGCCTCATCATTTTTTTTTATCAGTTACACAAAAAGGATTTATCATTGCCTGTCTCATCATCCTTACTTACAGAACTTATCCAGCTCTTTAATGAGTCGGCAGTAGGGGGCCACTCCAGCATTTTGATAACTTACAAATGCATAGCCTCTCACTAGTACTGGCCGATCATGAGAATGATGATCCAACAATACAAGTAAGACACTCAATTGCCTGCAGGTTTCCTTCATCCCTTACTGGTGCTGGACAAGGTTTGGGATGATGTCAGAATGGATTTTATTACAGGCTACAAGTCTCCTCTGGAAAATCAATTATTATGGTGGTCGTGGACAGACTCATCAAATATAGTCACTCTGCTGCCCTATCTTACCCATATACAGCAG